TTTATATGAATTTCGCGGACAGGGCGAACCCATAGAGACAGAAAGTAGATGAGTGGTTGCCAGGGGCTGTAGAGGAATGGTTGAGCACTTAAATGTCTTCTAGTGGATATGGGTTTCTTTTTGGACTCATCAGAAATTAAGTAGTGGTGATCATGACTCTGAATACACTTAAAACAAAAATTATTACTTTAATAGGGTGGGTTCGATTGTATGTAATTTACTCAAAAAAGCATAGTAGTAGGGGTTTGAGAATAGAATAGGGAGGTAAAATGAAGGAGGCCTGTTGAGAGCCACAGCCGAAGGGGCCCCAGCAAACTTCCAGCTGGCAGTTGATGATTGGCTCACAGCTGGCCCCAGCAAACTTCTAGCTGCCAACTGATTGACTCCTCTGCGGTGATGCTCATTGGCCTGTTTCCCCGCCCTTTCAGACCACAGAACTGCTCATTGGGGGACTTTTTTTGGCTCTGCCCATAGACCCAGCCAATCGGCCTGAAGAGCAGGAGTGGGGGAGGTGGAGAGGCTTGTGGGAAGCCCGTGGCAGTTGGGCTCTGAAGGTTTTTCCTGAGGAGCTGTTTTGTTTGGCATGTGTGGTTCTAAAAATAAAGTTCTTTTCTTTTGACAAGTGGCTCCTGAATTGTGCCCAGCCAGACTGCGGATAGGGAGGTAAAATGAAGGAGGCCTAGTGTAGAGGCTGATGCAGTACATCTTTGAGAAGTTACAAAGGAACTTCAGAAACATGAATGGCAGTATACGGAGCCTCCACATCCTTCAAGTAGAATCAGGAGCTGTTACCAACCGGAAAACTCAAGCCATTTTTTATTGGCACATTTGATTAAATAATTGGATGCAGAGTGAACTCAGTCTTCAGGCCCTCACCCTTCCCCCCAGGGCAGGTTGATTCCAAGTTCCAACCCTCTAATCACACAGTCTATCTGTGGACTAGCCTCCATCCTGAAGCTGTCTGGGAGTCCAATAGAGTAACCATTAATGTAAAAGACTCTGTCACTGGAAATTGCAAAGATTTTTGAAACTCTGCTAGACTAGATGTATTCTTTATTATGCTAAAGGTTCTAAAAAGTTTATTAAAATTACACCCAAGCCTGTAATTCCAGCAACTTGGGAGGCTGAGGCAGGAGGATTGCGAGTTCAAAGCCAACCTCAGCAAAAGCAAGGTCCTAAGCAACTCAGTGAGACCCTGTCTCTAAATAAAATACAAAATAGAGCTGGGGATGTGGCTCAGTGGTCTAGTTCAATCCCCAGTACCAAAAAAAAAAAAGTTTATTAAAATCATTAACAGGAAGATTTTTAAAAATTATGACTTTAATTAGTGAGTGCCTGTTTTTATTTATTTATTTTATTTTTTTAATCTTTTTTTTTTTAAAGAGAGAGAATTTTTTTTTAATATTTATTTTTTAGTTCTCGGCGGACACAACATCTTTGTATGTGGTGCTGAGGATTGTACCCGGGCCGCACACATGCCAGGCGAGCGCGCTACCACTTGAGCCACATCCCCAGCCCCTGAGTGCCTGTTTTTAAATTTAGCACCTTACCTATATCTGAGCCATCTTTTTTTACATTTATAATTCTTGGGTTTTCTGAAATTTATCCATCACTTCTGTAATTTCTCTTTTGTATTAAAGTGAAGATTTCTTAGAAATATTGGTTTTCACAAGACTAAAGTACATTAATTTATGTAATAAGTTTACTCTGAAGATTATCCAGATTGCAGAAAAATACAAAAATGTTTAAATATTTTATGTTTAAAGGAAATTATTTCCAATTTTTGGCCTATTGAAATAAGTGAATTGGAGAACACCTGATTCTTGGCATACCTTGTGATCCAGTAACAATAGGTACTTCAACGCCCCCTGCTGACCATTTTATTGATAACTATGGTGATAGTGGAAATTTTAATTTTGAAAATACGTTTCACCATAGCCAAATGGAAAATAGGTAGTTTAGTATTATTCTCATATGAGCAATATGATCTCTTGTGACTTTTAGGTTGAAGATCAGAGTAACTGCCTAATGATTAAAAAACACCTCAGTTTATATCCAAGGTGTTTTTTTTTAAATTTTTAATTTTCCACATATTTTTATTGGTGCATTATAGTTTTACATAATGTGGGATTTGTTGATACATATTCATACTTGCACACAATATAACAATATAATTTGGCCAGTATCAGTCCCCAGCACTTCCTCCTTCCCCTCCCTGCTTCCCCCCTTTGGTCCATTTCTTCTACTGATCTCCATTTGAGTTGTTTGGTTTTTTTATTTGTTTGTTTGTTTTTAGTTGTCAATGGACCTTTATTTTGTTTATTTACTTGCAGTGCTGAGAATTGAACCCAGTGCCTCACACATGCTGGGCAAGCACTCTACCACTGAGCCATAACCCCAGCCCTCCCTTTTTTTAATCTGTGTATAAAAGTTATGAGATAAACACCAACCTTAGGAAACATTTTCATTAAGAATTTATGCTTTCCATTTATATATTTTGTAAATATGACTATTATGCAATAATACCTCATATAATGTTATAGCATCTTAGGTGTAGGAATATAGATATATATTCATATATATCCCATCATGGAGACACCACTCTCATCTAAACCTATCTCCCATAGACCTATCTCCAAATACTATTACATTGGGGAGACAGGACTTCAACATATGAATTGGGGCTGGGGGACTTAATTCAGTTCATAGCAACATTGTATCATAGCATCTTAGTGTAATATTCTTTTAAGTATATCAGGACTTTGTTTTAAATCTGAAACTGCCATGTCTTCTGGCTTGATACTGTTCGAGTCATCTTCAGTGATCTCTCCAGCTGTAGTTTCTAATGAACTGTTTTCCCTCTGAGAGGACACTAAATGTGATTGTTTGCTTTCTATAATTTAGTTTGTTTGGTTTTGGTACCTGGAATTAAACCCAGGGGCTCTTAACCACTGAGCCATATCCCCAGCCCTTTTTAATATTTTATTTAAAGACAGAGTCACGATAAGTTGCTTAGGGCCTCACTAAGTTGCTGAGACTGGCTTTGAACTTGTAGTCCTCCTGCCTCAGCCTCCAGAGCTGCTGGATGCTGGGATTACAGGCGTGGCCACTGTGCCCGGCTCTATGATTTAGATTCCCCACCTTTACACATCAATTTGGTTTAGGTCAGTGTAGGTACTGGGTGTAGGTAACTAGGTCTTCTGACATGTAACTAATGTGGTTATCTTCACCTGCATCCCTAGCAATGACTGTACAAACATGATGCCACTACTATTGCATACTTTATCTCTAGACCCCTTATATTTAAATTTTTATAGAGGCAGCTGTATAATTCTGTAGTGGCACCTCCTTTCTTCACAGAAAAATCTTAACTGGGTTTCTCCAGTGATCTTCACCATTTTAGGATTGTCAGCAAGAGTCTCTACAAAATAGTTCAATGTAGATAAACTTTCACTTTTCATGTTGACCTGTTTTACTTAGCCATTGGCCAGGAAGAAATCAGCACTCCAGGTGCTGGACACCCCCTTGCTAGTTTTTCAGAAACCTGTATCCAGCATAGTAGTTTGTAGAAATGTATAAACAAAGCCTCTGGCCTTGAGCTGGGGCTTCACAGAGATGTCTGCATTTCTAAGATAAGAGAAGTTACAATTGGGCTCTGTGGTAACAGCTGGCAGGGGGGAGGAAAGAAAGGGGAGAAGAAGCTCTCAGCCTTGTTGGGTATTATCTTTGAAGGGTTAACTTGCCCAGAACAGTGAAAGAAAAAGATGCTTTTATGTGAACTTCTGCAGACTGGGAACTTCTGAGCCCCTCCCCTTACATGCTGGGTATAAAATTCTGAAACTACCTGAACTTGGGGTTCAGGGGATTGATAACAGCGAAAGCTTTGCCCTCTGAACCTGGCTGCAGCCAAATAAAACTGTTTCCTGCTATCTTTGGTGCCTTGCCTCGTCTGTCCCCATAACAATTCTCTAACATACTATTTCCGTTCTTGTTCACCAGTGAACTATGACCACTCTTGTTCAATTAATTCTCTGTCATACCTCTCTCTCGTCCCTAGACACACATTCACACTCCTAGAATTAGGACTGCATCATTGAAGCCAGATCATAAATCTATAGAAACAAGATTAGTAGAGGTGTTTTGGCTAGGGGAAGTGTTTTTAAGTATATTTATTTATTTTGTTTGGTACTGGGTTTTTTTGTTTTGTTTTGTGTTTGGTACAGGAGCACTCTGTCACTGAGCTACATCCCCAGCCCTTTTTATTTTGAGACAGGATCTCACTAAGTTGGTGCATCTGGCTTTAAACTTGTGATCCTTCTGTCTCAGCTTCCTGAGTACCTGGGATTACAGACATCTACCATCACCATGCCTGGCTGTTAGTAAGTCTCTTCAAGGACATCTGGTCCAGTCCTCCCATTTTAAGCTTATATCTAGAGATAGTTTCCTCAAGGTTCCACAGCAACTAAGTTGGAACTTGGATTTCCTGTTTCTTGGTCTAGAACTCATTCAGTTTATTTCATGCTATCCTGGCTTTGTGAAAATATTTTGTATTTCTATCTTTTGTGTTAAACTTATTTTAAAGAACTTTATGATGTGTCCCAGAAGAACTTACCCTTTTGGGGGGCTATGCGGGATTGAACTCAGGGGCTCTCAACCACTGATCCATGTCTTTGGCCCTATTTTGTATTTTTTATTGAGAGACAGGGTCTCACTGAGTTGCTTAGTGCCTCACCAAGGCTGAGGCTGGCTTTGAACTTGTGATCCTCCCAACTCAGCCTTCCATGCCCCTGGGATTATAGGCAGGTGCCACCAAGCCCGGCTAGAACTTACCCTTTTGTAAGACATTCTTAAAGATTTTGTTTTTTTTCTAAGTTCTTTAGCATTCTTTCATACCTGGGATTACAGTCATGTACCACCGTGCCTGGCTGTTATATTTTTACCACAATTGGTATGAAAACTTGCTTTAACTTGAGGGGTTGCATTTATTAAAATTTGCTTTATTAAGATTAAAATGTATGGTTCAGTGCTAGAGCAGTTGCCTAGCATGCACAAGGCCCTGAGTTCATCCCCAGTGTTGGGGGGAAAAAAAGAAAAATCCTACCTATCTGGTCTTCTTCCATTTTTACATCAGTACTTTCTGTGGCTTGTTCTCCATCTTGAAATTCTTGTGATTTTTCTGTCTTGTGTCCCAGAATAGCATCCAACTCGGTAAAGAATTTCATATTCCTAGTCATGCCTAGGTCCTGAGCTGTTCTTACAATCTTGTATTCGTGTTTCAGGTTTTTGTACTTTGTTCGGCACTGCTTCCAGTCTCTCTCTATTCCAGATTTCTGAAGCTTGGCAGCAATTAGTTCAAATATCCTTTTGTTTCTCACTGTTCCCTCTAGTTGTTGTTGGATGCTTTTATCTGACCAGATGCCTATTAAAGCCCTGACTTCTGGCATAGTCCAGTGTTTTCCTCCTTCATTTGCAACAGTTGGGATAAAAGGTGAATTATTAGGAGGCTCCATTATTGATGTAGAGATACCTGCATCAGATGTGAAGAAATAAGAATCATGGATTACATACATCAGACAAGGTAAATAATTGGATACAACATTATGGAAGACATTTTCTCCATAGGAGACAGAATAACAAATTATAGGTTAACTTTTGCTTAAACTAATGGGTAAATGGAAGTACAGAACTTGAATCTGTTCATTATCATGACAAAGACTGGCTTAAACAAGGGTAGGTCTTCAGTCACTTTTTGATCATTGTTCTTCTATAAAGGTTCTTTCCCACTTGTTCACATATGGGCTATTTATCAGTATATAGCTAAAGTTGAACACATTATATTTATTAAGAAAGCAATATGATTACATAAGAAAAAGGACTTTAATTAATTTTTGTTTTGCTATAGGACAGGTGTGAATAATTCCTTTTCTGGGGGGGGGGGTTAAAAACTGCTACTCAAGTGCCTCCCTCATCTTTCTTCTCAAGATTGGGATTTTCATGTACATTGGCTGGGAAGAACCACACACAATCAGCATTTACTCCTTTGGAAATTAGAGGAAGATCAAATGACATTTTAAGTGAAATGCTACCTTCTTTTATTGGTAGAAATTCTTTAATACCCCATGGTGCTTTCACATTAGGTCCCTAAGTTAGTTTTACAATTCACTTTATATAAATGACATCAATTAATGTTATACTTGGCATCATATTGGTTATTTTAACAACCATATTGTTTTTCTCAGATTTTGTGTTCAGGTTTAAATAAGTTGTAAATGATTAGAAAACACCATATAGCTGGGCATGGTGGTGTACATCTGTAATCACAGTGGCTTAGGAGCCTGTGGATTGCAAGTTCAAATGCAGCCTCGGCAACTTATTGAGGTCCTAAGCAATTTAGTGAGACCCTGTTTCATAATAAAATATAAAAAATGAGCTGGGCATGTGGCTCAGTGGTTAAGTGCCCCTGAGTTAAATCCTCAGTGCCAAAAGAGAAAAAATATAAATAAAAACAAAAACTGTATAGAATTTACTTGCAATACATAGTAGTTTTTATTTTGTGGTATATTTAATATCACTATTTTGAAATGCTTTTCAGTTATTTTTTTCTTTATTTGAATTAGAAATAAGGTGTTATTATTTGGGTTAGAAATGAGTTTTTTGCTTCTACCTTCAATAATACATTGGAAGCAAAGAGTGGATTGACATTGGATTTAATTAAGAATCCTTGATCTCGTGTACTTAATATTACTTATTTTCAGATGTGAAATTCTGTTTGTCTTTTACCCCCAGAATACCAAATGTCAAAGCAATTATGTTCATTACTATAAATTTAGCCATTGCAGTTCTTATAAAATTAAAGAATAAAAGTTAGAAATTAGAGTAAGTATTTCTATAAAACTTTTTGTTAAGGAAATAATTTTCTTTCAAAAATGACTTTTCAGCCTAAGTTTGTACAGGAGAAAAAACAAATTACTCAGTGTTTCTGTCAGGAAATACTGTCCATGTTCTCAGATTAGAAGCAGTCTTTCCAATTTGAAATTAGATCAGTTTCATAACGTTTTTGGCCCTTCATACTATACCTAGTTCCATTGGTCTGATATGAGAAACCAAAAGCAAAGGATTTCCTGAGATATCTTCTTTATCTTCTAATGGGACTGACATTTTGCCTGGAAGGAGAACAGAATTCCTTTTAGAAATAAGTACTAAGGGAAAAAAGTTGAATTAACATAACTGGTAAAGCTAGTTGCTAAAGCTGAATTTATCCATGAAAATGGATTTGTGATGGACATATTTTGTAATAAAATGGTATAATATGGCTCAATAAAATGGCATAATATGGCTTAAATAATTTTTTTCTATCCCATTTACTTGGTTTATTTTGAACTATTAAAATTGTTTGATTTTGTAAATTTCCAAGGAGTATTGTGATTAATTTTCATTTGGGTTAAATTAACCCCAGCTGTTTGGGAGGCTGAGGCAAGAGGATTGAAAGACTGAGGCCAGCCTAGGAAACTTAGAGAGACCTGTCTCAAAATAAAAAAATAATGTCTGGGATAAAGCTCAGTGGTTGAGGGCCTCTGGATTCAATCCCCAGTACTACATCAATAAATAAGCAAACAACTAAATAAGATGTGTTTTGTTTATATTTGTTTCTTAGGTGCTTTAACACAGTAGGGACTTTTATAAATGCTACTGGTAATGTACAAGAGGAATATACAATGAGAAATATAATCAGAAAATGTTTTACTGGCACATAGGGCCAAACAGCTTAAGAATTTTTGTGTATTATATAATTAATTGACATACTAAACATTTCAGAAATTTATCAGAATTACTTAAATGTGGTAAGAGATGTATCATTTAAAAGAACCATGCCAGACCTTTTTTTTTTTTAATATTTTCTTAGTCGTCAATGGACCTTTATTTTATTTATTTATATTTGGTGCTGAGAATCAAACCCACTGCTTCACACATGCCAGGCAAGCACTCTACCACTGAGCCACCACCCCAGCCCCCCCATGCCAGACTTAAAAGAATGAAATCCTTCCTTGAGCTCTTTGTTTTATGGTTTGGTGGTTTCTATGCTTGCTTTCATAGAGGAGGCAAAGGCTACTTCCTAAAATAATCAGGTAAGGAGGATAATTCGTGTTTGTGGTTCTGGGAATCGAACCCAGGTCCTCACACATGCCAGGCAAGTGCTCTGTCACTCATCTACAACCCCAGCCTCAGGAGGATGATTTTTTTTTAAAGTAATTGATTTAATCAAATTTGTTATATATGACAGCAGAATGCATTTTAATTCATATTACACATAGGAGGATGCTTTTTTTAAGGGAAAAAAAATAAATCTTTGAAAGGAACCCAACAATGACAATGAAGTTGCCAGCTAATCAGGAGGGGTTGAGTATATTTTGATTGCTCTTTGTAATTTTTTATTTATTTATTTTTTTATTTTTTATTTTTTTTTAAAGAAAGAGTGAGAGAGGAGGGGGGAGAGAGAGAGAGAGAGAATTTTTAATATTTATTTTTAGTTTTCGGCAGACACAACATCTTCGTTTGCATGTGGTGCTGAGGATCGAACCTGGGCTGCACGCATGCCAGGCGGGCGCGCTACCGCTTGAGCCACATCCCCAGCCCCTGTAATTTTTTAAATTAAAGATTTATTCACCTTATAAATCATCATTCCCAAATGCTTTTCTAATTCTGTTTGCCAGGTAATAGAAATAGTATTGTATTTTATTTAGGTGTGATTTGATTGACATAAACATCCACTTAAAATCATGATTCATGGGGCTGGGGTTGTGGCTCAGCGGTAGAGCACTTGCCTTGCTTGTGTGGGGTGCCAGGTTCAATCCTCAGCACCACGTAAAAATAAAAATAAAGGTATTGTGTCCATCTATAACTAAAAAACAAAATAGTTTTTAAAAATTATGATTCACCATTATATTTAGAGATATTGTTATTGAAAAAAATGTGTTTATCATATTTAAAAGTCTGTTGGTTCCCATGTTAAAATAGGGAAACAATTAAATATGGAAAGTTAAATAAATATAGAAGTGCAAAGCACCACTGTTATCAAATAACACAATCGTGTTTTTTAACTTTCAAAGTAAAAATTGCCAATTTTAAGTCAAGTTTTACAGCTCATTGAGGATAAAGGAATTAATAAGGAATGTCTTAGATTTAGTTGAATATAGAAAATAAGAATCTGGGGTTACATAAGAATTTTTTAGAAAAACATGGGGAGGATATTGGTACACACGGGTCATTTATCCTGAGCTAATGACAGTAAGCAGAGAATGTGGTTTTCTGCTCTGTTCTCTGGTTTTCTATCCATAGAATAGAACCTGGGGCTAGCGTACAGGTAGGCTTCCCAACTTCTTCAGGAATTTTTTTTCTTAAGTTGGTCATTTATAGTGTGAATCCTGAAATGATACTCAGAGGCCCTGTGCCTGGAAGTTTTAAACTGAATCCTTAAGTCATTGCTTCTGATGCTTTTCGTATAAAGAGGAGACAGAGGGGAATCTGGGTCACAGAAGGAATGTGGTTTGGCAGCAGTGGACCTAAGGTATTATCAGGTTGATTTAGTTACCAGAAGACATGAAGACTTTCTAAGAACCCAGTTGTATGAACAAGGAATTTTCAAGTGAACAAATGTATAGAAAAATGGTTATAACAATACTCTGTGTGATATGATAAAGTTATAGATAATGAGAGTGGATGAGAGAAAATTTTTATAGAACATATCAGTAGACTTTTTATGAATAATTGTTGGCCAAAAGTCAAGGATATCTCAGAAATTTCTATGGAAGTCTAAAGTGGAAGCAATTTGTAGGAGGATCAATTTTCAATGAGTGTAGAAGAGTTTGATTTTAGAATTCAGGGTTTAAGGTACTTTATACAGACATGATTAGGTTGTATAATATAGGCCCACTGCTTATGAATGGGACTAAGAAATTTGAAGCCAGAAGGGTACCTGAAAGGGTTAGAAGATAATCGCTTTAAGAAGCAAAGATATTAGCACCTACATCTTCTAAACCAACACATCTGGTGGGAGATTTTGAGAAGTTAAGTGATTAAAGAGTACTGAATGATTAAAAGAAAAAAATATTATAACTGCTGCTTATAATGACTACAGAGCATTCTCAACATTTGGCATAATGTTAGAGATGCAAAGCGTTTTTATAAGTGGGATAGATTGTTTCTTAGTCAAATGATTACTGAGCTATAAACATGAAATTCAGCCAACCCAAGTTTACTCAGCTATAATGGCTGTCCTCAACGCACTTTGCATTTGGAACCTTTAGTGTACTGCTTGCCATTTTCTCTAGGGTGTTACATTTATTCTTGGTTCCTCCTTTTGGAGGTTTAATAGCATTCATTGTATGTGAATATCTGTGTTCTTTGTACATGGGTCACACGACAGTGAGGGTTACAGGTACTTGAACAACTCTGCTCTTTAAAAAAAATAGTAATATTTAAAAATATTTAGCCATGGAAAAAAATCTCATTACTGTCACTCTGCCTGCCTAGTGATACTTGTGGCTTCCAGAGACAATGAGCAAATCATAACTAGTGCTGGGCTTAACAACACAGCAGGTCAAGGACCTTGTTTAGTATCTTCAAAATCTTCAGTCATGCCTATATGCCGAAAATCCCACTGAGGCAGGAAGATCACAAATTCAAGGCCAGCCTCAGCAATTTAGCAAGACCTTTTCTCCAAAAAAAGAGAAAAGGCTGGGGGTGTGGTTCAGTGGTAAAGTGCCCCTGGGCTCAATTCCTAGAACCCCAATAAATATATACATACAGAAATAAATGAATCAAAATCTTCACTTATTTATTGAATCTATTTTTGTCTTTGTTTAATTATTAAATCTATATTTGTCTTTGTTGTAAAATGAAGCTCTGCCAGACAAGTCATAAAAAGTGTTTATCAACTCTGTATTTTAATGCTTTTATTTATTAATTTAAGAAAATGGAAACATTAAAATAGAGGAGAAAGTTCTGTCTTGTGGAACAGCAAGTTGAACAGTATTTTTGGTATTCTCTTTTTTGTCACTCTTATCAAAATCAAACCTAAAATATTTTTAGAACCCAATCCATATTTCAGAAACACATCATACATACATTTGGCACTAGCAGTTAAGGCCATTTCATTGTGTTTTTTCTGTATTTTAACAGTTGTCAAAGTGGTATTTAACTTCTTTTTTTAAAAAAATTCTTACCATGTGTAAAATAGTGTAAGATGCGATTTTTTTTTCAACCTTGATATTTTAGCTGTATTTTCATTTGGACTCAGAAGTGTCCTGTATTTAAAGTTTGTGAAACTGTAATATGAAGAGAAACAAACAAAAAAAAAATAGTTTTTTTGTTTTTTGTTTTTTTCTTTTTACCTTCAGTGGTCTCTGGGGCTGTGCTTGGGCTCATGGTTGCCAGGTGCCTGCTGTTAGCATCCTCCTCTGTTAATTGTGTGGCAGGTTCATTCTGCAGGATTACGTCCAAGTCGTGGAAGAACTTCATAGTTTTAGAGCTGTCTCCAGAGTTGTGGGCATACTTCACAGTTCTATATTCATATTTGAGATTCTTATACTTTGCCCGGCATTGTTTCCAGTCTCTGTGTACTCCTAGTGATTGTAGCCTTTTAGCAATGTAAATAAATATTCCTTTATTTCTCAGTGTGCCATAAAGTTGTTTTCGTATGTTTTTTTCTGCCCAGACACTTAGCAAAGCTTTAACCTCCTCATCAGTCCAGTGCTTCCCAGCTCCACTCTCCATGTTGAAAGTGACCTGGAAATGATTCACTACTTGTAGCCACCAGTTTTGTTTCCTAGGAAACCAGATGGCTGGTTGTCAGTACTGCTCCTTAGAGCTTGAAAGCATCTAGTTTAACTGGTTCAAGCTGCCTGAGGGAGTAACTTAAGGTTGCCAAATATGCAGGGCAAGCTTTGTGATTAAAGAAACCTGAACCTAAATGATTGCTAACCTTTTTTTTCATTCAGCTTTAAGGAAAAATTACCCTTGAGACAAAAGGGAAAGAGACTATTTTTGTGTGTATATCTTATGATTTTCTGTTCTGCCAAATGATTGTGGATTTTTAAAAATTGGAAATGGTTGGCAGAGCTGTTTTTCAGAGGTTTATAGCTAATGTTAATGTAAAGTGATATAAATAGAAAGTGATATTTGGGCTTGGGGATGTAGCTCAGTGCTGAAGAGCTTGCCCAACATTTGTTAGGCCCCAAGTTAAATCAATCACCAGCACTGTAAAGACTAAACAAAAAAGCCTGATATTTGTTGGAGAAAAGTTGGAAAATGCAGAAAAGCAAATGGAAATTGTTTTGCTTATATCTAAATACTCACCCTGTTAACCTTACTCAGAGACCAATATTACTTGGAGGTCCAAGTTCTGGAGTTGGATTGTCTGTCATGATCCTGGCAGCACCATCTGCTCACTGTGTGACATTGGACAAGTTATTTTTCCATTTCTTTGGTGTGCTTATCTGTGAGATGGGAATGGCAATCGCAGTCTTGCTTCACGGGATTGTTGTGAAAACTACATTATTTCCCTTTATGTAAAAGTGTTTAGAGTTCCAGAAACTGGTATGTATATTGGTTGGAATCAGATGACAGGATCATCTTGTTGGAGTTGTCTGCTGCTGTTACCAGTCATCAGCATCATGTGTGGAAGCAGTGTGAGTCTTCGTAGCATTGAATGTGTCAGACTCAGATATGGATGCTTGTTGACAAAGTGCGGTAATGAGGCTCTTTAGAAGCTCTTCAACTGAGGATTAATAGTTGATGCCTTTGTGTTTTCACAGGGGCCAGGAGAGTGCTGGTATCGTGACCAGTGATGGGAGTTCTGTGCCAACATTCAAAACGCATAAGGTAAACTTGAACATTGAAAAACGATGATGGTCAAGATAACAATTGCCAGATGATCATTAGTATATGAGGGGAGAAAGGAATGAATAAACAATTTGCACAAGATAGTACCTTTTCAATCATTTTCGATTTTTTATCCTAACATCTGTCAAATTAGAATCTTCCTTCCTTCCTTCATTTCCTACATGCCTACCTTCCTTCCTGCCTCTTTCCGCCTTTTCATCCTGATTAGAATTATGGAGCATAGAGACAGCAGGTGAACTGGGATTGCCTGAACAGAGAGGCTTATTTGCTAGCAGTACTAGTCTGTGTTTTTTTCTAAGACATGCTTTTTCTTTGACTTCTCAAGGGAATGGGTCTTGTAAATCATGTTTTTACTGAAGACAATTTGAAGAAATTGTATGTTTCAAATCTTGGCATTGGACACACGAGGTATGCCACTACAGGAAACTGTGAATTAGAAAATTGTCAGCCCTTTGTTGTTGAAACACTTCACGGGAAAATAGCTGTGGCACATAATGGCGAATTGGTGAATGCTGCTCGGTTAAGGAAAAAGGTAAGTTTTCATTAATGCAGTTAGTTAGAGGATCTTGTCAAGGGACATTTCTTTTCTTTCTTTCTTTCTTTCTTTTTTTTTTTAAACCAGGGATTGAACCAAGGGGCAGTTTACCACTGAGTTACATCCCCTGCACTTTTTTTAAGAGACACAGTCTCACTAAGAAACTTAGAGTCTTAGGCTCATGAGTTGCTGGGATTGCAGAAATGGCATTTCTTAATTGTTGCTACCTGATGCCTAACTGCCACCAGCAATCACATAAGAATTACCTGAAGTATTTGTTATAATTCCAGATTCTAAGATGCCCCCCCCCGCCCCCATAGTTGAGGGCATTTGAATATACTCCCAGGGTGGTTTGCAATAGTGTTGCTTTAGTGTTGAGATTTGGGAAGTTGATTTATGGTTTCTGTTTTAAGCACAGAAAAATTAGGGTTTATAGATCTTTCTGTCCTTTGGAAATTTGTTCCTGTGTTCACAGTTTATGTGACTTTCAGACTCATCACAGCATAACCCAAATATAAGGGTTTCTCACACCAGCCAGTTCTCTAGAGGACATCAACTGAGTATCCTATAATTCAGATCAACATTGCATCCTGGAGTCAGGGTCTGATCCCAGTGATTAAGAGCTTAGTCCCACAAGTCTACTTTCCGCTTCAGATGTCAGTCACAAGTTTGAGTCTCTGATACTTTTAACCAACTGGCTATTGAGTGTTTCACGTCCCCTCCCTGATTTCCATCATTTGATAGAGCAGTTCACAGAACTCAGGAAAGTATTTTTTTTTCCTTTTTAAAAATATATATATCTTTATTTTTTAGTTGTAGATGGACAATATCTTTATTTATTTATCTTTATGTGGTGCTGAGGCTCGAACCCAGTGCCTCACACATGCTAGGCAAGTACTCTACCACTGAGCCAGAGTCCCAGCCCAGGAAAGTACTTTTCTTATGCTTACCAGTTGATCATAAAGCATACTACAATGAATACAGCAGAACAGTCAAGATGAAGAGATGGGTAGGGGGGCTGAGGATATGGTTCAGTTGGTAGAGTGCTTGCCTTGCATGCACAAGGGCTGGGGTTCGATCCCTAGCACCACCAAACAAACAAAGAAAAAAGAAGAAGACATGGGTAGGAAAAAGTATGTGGGAAGAGGCATAGAGCTTTGATGCCCTTTGGGTACCACTCCAGGCTCTCCTTAGTTATCTGAAAACTGTCCCAATTTGTTCTATTTAGGTTTCTTGGGATCTCATTAAGTTGGCATAATTGCTTGAAATAGTAGCCTTGAATTATCAGCTCAAACTTCAGCCCCCTTCCCTCCTGGAAGGTCTGGTATAAGGTTGAAAGTTACCTCTAATCACCTGGTTGGTTCTCTTGCTACCAGTCATTTCATTATCCTACTAAATACGCTTACATTGGTCGTTGCAAGGGGTGTAGGAGCTGTGTGTGAGGAAAATCCAGGTCAAAAATCAACCTATGGCTAGGTGCAGTGGCACACACCTGTAATCCCAGCAGCTCAGGAGTCTGAGACAGGAGGATCTCGAGTTCAAAGCCAGCCTCATCAATGGCAAGGCACTAAGAAACTCAGTGAGACCCTGTCTCTAAATAAAATACAAAATAGGGCTGGGGATGTGGCTCAGTGATCTGAGTTTAGTCCCCAGCACACATACCCCACAATCATTCCAAAATCACCAACCTACAGTTGACTTTCCAGCACTACATATCCACCAAATGCAGATAAAATGTATCTGGGGACAGGGGCAGGAAATTGCCTGTACTGAACATGTACAGACATTTTTCTTGTCATTATTCCCTAAACAATAACGTAATAACTATTTGCATTGTGTTAGAAATATCTAGACATGATCTAAAATATATGGTAGAGTGTATTAAGTTATATACAAATTCTACATCATTATTTTATATTTTATAAGGGACTATGCATTGCAGATTTTGGTTCTGCAGCGCTCCTAGAACTACTTTCCCATAGGTGCAGTTCAGTGGTATATATTTATCAAAGCATAAGAAGAAAGTAGACCTGGGTTGATGGTACTGGCCCATAATCCCAGCAACTAGGAGGCTGAGACAGGAGAATTGCAAATTGAAAGCCACCCTCAGAAATTTAGAGAGACCCTGTCTCAAAATATAAAAAGGGTTGGGAGTGTGGGTCAGTTCCACTGGTTCAATTAAGTACCCCTGGGTTCAATTCCTGGAACCAAAAAAAAAAAAAAAAACAGAGTAGAGTATAGGTTCAGGTTCAGTATCCTTTCTTTGAAATGAACCAGAAGTGGTTCAGATTTCAGATGTTTTGGGATTCTAAAATCTTTGGATTGGAACCAAGTCTAAACATATTAATTTATGTTTCATATACAAATGATGCACATAGAGTAAATATAATTTTGTATGATGTTTTAAATGATCTTATGCATAAAACAAACTTTCATGTGCAATTTCCACTTGTGGCATGTTGGTGCTTAAAAAGTTTCAGATTTTGAAGCATTTCAAGTTTTGGATTAGGGATGTTCAATTTGTATATCTGAGGCATAAAAAAGCATATGAAGAAAATGGAGTCTAAACTTGAGGATGACAAATATAAGAGAAATGAATTGTAACCATACTGGAAACTAAAATAGAATCTGGGAGTAAGGACAAAGGATGTTTACTCCTACCCTTTATTTACAGCTTATCATTTGGAAGTTTCTGTGTTAACAGCGTCTAGTTTATGCCTTTGACTTCATCCATTATTTCATCCTTTTTTTTTTTTTTTGGTGGTTGGGAGGGAATAACCAGGGATTGAACTCAGGGGCACTCAACCACTGAGCCACATCCCCAGCCCTATTTTGTATTTTATTTGGAGATAGGGTCTCACTGAGTTGCTTAGGCCTTACTTTTTCTGATGGTGGCTTTGAATGCGCCACCACACCCGGCTTCATCATTCTTTTTAAAATTATTATCATGCGGCGTCTTCAGGTACCTGGTAGTTTCTTTTTTATCCACTTATGCCATTCATGGATGTTTAGTTTCTTCACTTCACTAGATTCTGATCATCTTGATTAG